TACTTTTCTTTTAAATTATTTTGTATTTTAAAATAATAAAAATACGATATGATTTTATGTAATTTTACAAATATGAATGAATTTATATGCAACAATAAAGACCTCAAACCTCCGAGTTATTTGGGTTCACCGTGCATTGTAATTGTTTCGAGTGATCCGTTCATTGTTAACGCTCTTTTGGAAAGGAGGTACGCGCAGATAACGAATTTTTTAAAAAAGGAGGTACGCGTGGGGTTCTTTCTTCTCCGCTAACTTGTGAACACGAACAACAAAGACAAACTTATTACACACAAGTCAATATTCTGCATCTATTAATGTCGAATTTCACCTGTGTATAAATTAGGGGACATAACAAAAGCTAGAGAATGACAGACATTTCAGCCTCCAAGATTCCGACTCACATATGGTTCCGAATGCGGAAAATGACCTATGATGTGTTAACTTGAGGTACAATTAAGGCTGAGATTGTGACAAAGGACAAATCGGTTGAAATTCTAAAACAAATCGCAATTGCTCGTTATAGTTCTTTTCATGACGGTGACTGTAACTCGAGTGTATGGACGCCGCCACATAATATCAAGTATAATATTGTTTGTAACAAAAGATGGGGGATGGGACAAATAATATCCGGATAATTAATACTCAAAATACGATCACATCGAGGAAATCGTGTGTCTAAACTTGGACAACAGGAGAGCTTTTACCCTTAATATGTATTTTTTTCGGTATTTCAGCAACAGCTTTCAATATACAGGGTGAACCAGAATTAACTGACCCTTTTAATTTGTTAATAAATAAAAAACTGAGAACGTTATGAAGTTGAAACTTGTTTTATTTAAAAGAAGAACATTTTTATGGTAATATTGTATCCTAGTTAAAATATTGTATCCTATTACAATATTTTATTATTGTATTATTTAAAATATTTATTATGTATTAATAATATGTATTAGTTAAAATATTGTATGTAATATTGTATCCTAGTTAGTTATTGTGTCCTAAAAACTAGGATACAATATTACCATAAAAATGTTCTTCTTTTAAATAAAACAAGTTTCAACTTCAAAACGTTTTTAGTTTTTTATTTATTAACAAATTAAAAGGGTCAGTTAATTCTGGTTCATCCTGTATTATGCTCAAAGTATATAGGAGCACATTTAATCAGTCTGCTTCACAGTGGGTTGATTTTTGTGTATTTAATCAAAATAAAAGATATATGATGCACGAGAAATAGATTACGGATTTGAAATGCTATTATATTTTTTTAAGAGTCAAATCTGGAATTTTATATATCGTTCCTTGACCTAAGCAGTGATTTTAATCTATATTTTACCGAACATTAAACCCTTTTGTGCAGCTAGAGTTCAATTTAAGAATGTTTGTGATTATAGATAATAAAATTTATAGATTTCACGCAGGAAAAGGTAACCATATTTCCTTAGGGAATATCTTTGATCGTCGCGAAGTTAAGAGTAAAATAACAAACTCTATGAATCAGGATGAATCAGGGTGAATCAGGATGAATCAGGATGAAGGATATAAATGCCCCACATGAATCCATGTAGGGGCATCACTCGCTGTAACGTTTGGATCAATACGCGGACAAAGGACGCATGCATGTCCGTGCTACCGCTCCACAATATGTGGCATGGGCAAAGATCGATGCGATCCTTATGGCAGGGCTTACGGCGTCGATCTCGATCGATCTTCAATCAAACGATCTTCGTTACTGCATCGATCTAAATCCATCAGTAACACACGATCTAAGGGGTTAAGGCATCGGTCTAGGTCGTTCAGTAACACACGATCTACGGGCTCACGTCATCGATCTAGATCGATCAGCCATTAAACGATCGCCCAGCCCTTGACACTATTAAATTAATGCCCAGAATTTGATTGATTCACGATCATTAACGTCTCACGCAACAAATGTTTGTCTAATTATGGAAGGTGTCCAAATGAAACAAAAAGTGAACCTAGCTGTTACAAACGAGTGGGTATATATATATACTATCACTTTCTAGAACTTGGAAACTCCAAAAAATATTTGCTCAAAGAAATTATAAATGCTCATACTAGGCACGCGCATAAACATCGACATGTCTCGGCAACTTTTTCTTACGGATCTGGCCATACTTCCCATACATCAAAGTCCAGGCCATGTTTAAAGTGCTTTAACATAAGAGCCACGGTCTTGTTTAAAGTGCCGAGATATTAAAGACCAGCCTATGTTCAAGTGCTTAGACATCAGAGACCACGACATCTTTAAAGTTCTTATAGACATCAGAGACCAGAACATGTTTAAAGTCCTTCTAGACATCAGAGATCAGGACATAGGTATTTAAATTGCTTACACAGTGCTTAAATTTAAATTGCTTACAAAGTGCTTAAACATCAGAGACACGAATGCATTTAACTAGTAGTAATATCTGGCTGTCAGTGTTAATAAAGAATTTAGAGCAAACAACAAATTCCACCGCACCTTAAATGTGGAAGAGTGCATCAGATCAAGTGCATATTTATTGCCACTGTATGAACAAACTCTGATCATATTGTGCGTGTGTTTAGAATGATTCAATATAAAATGATGACTCATGACGTGCGTGAGAGCTGCACCACGTGGCCAGGACAAGACACCAGGGGCGGCTCTCGAGCACGCGTCGCAAATTAGAAACCAAAGCCAAGAGGTCGTCGAGAGCTCGGCAGCCTTCGTCATTAGCTGCTCGTCGCTCATCAGCTGCATGAGGTACATATGGATGCTCTGCTGGCAGTGTTCATGTATTCAAGTATTCATGGGATACTCTATTACATTATTATAGTTATTATGTTCGTCGCTCATCAGCTGCATGAGGTACATATGGATGCTCCGCTGGCAGTGTTCATGTTTTCAAGTATTATTGGGATACTCTATTACATTATTATTATTATAATTGATATTATTTTTGATAATAATATTATTAATATTTTTATTGTTATTGTTATTATTATTAATATTATTATTATTATTACTATTATTATCATCATTATTACCATTATTAGTATTAATAATTTTATTATCGTCACAATACGAAACGTTTGTCGTGGCGTCTGGTTCAAGCGAACCGAACATGTTAGGCTTTTTGATTGTTGCTCCTAAACTATTCTCTGGGCGAAATTGAATATTTAGAGAGAAAGCTATTCGAGGCATTGTTTCTTCAAAAGAGTTTTGCCAGCAATTTTGAAGTATTACAAGAAAACGTTTTTACATGTGAGGCCTTCGATTACTTCTCGAACAATTTTCCATACACAATATATTCGTATTTTATAAACACAGTGAATACAATAACAAGCGCGATGAACAATTGTCTGAATTTTGAGGTAAAGATAAGTTTTAATTATTTTCAATTTATGTGATAGAATTTTGAATTCCATTACGCGTCACAATAAAATCATACCAATACTAATGCCAGTTAAAAGCAGGACTTTGTGCGGGTGCAAATTTATTTTAAACGAAATAAATTTCATGGAAACGAAGGACTGTTTTTTTCATTTCACTGATATTGCTGAATTATAAATGATTTTTTTATTTATTAGATTTATTATTATTGTTTATTAGATTGTTGACGGTTTTTTTACTTGTATCTGATGTTCCTACATTCTCGGATTCGTAGACTTAATGTTTATAATATACCACTGTTTTTTTTGTCAACAAAAGAAACTCGATGAAATTTCAATTCCGTGTGATGGCTCGGTCACTCGAGAAGTCAAGTGGCAACAGATCTTGAATTTTTGTTAAGGAATGTTTAAAAAATTGTTAAGATTTTATCGTCAATGGCTACGAGGAACAATATTGAAGCTTCCAACTTAACTCCACAAGATTCATTTAAACGAGTTTTACCTACCATCTGAATTACAACGATAAATATATTTTCTCACATGTATATAGTGCTAAAATTTTTGGAAGCAGCCTATTGATCTTTATGTTTTCTTAAAGAAAAAATAACTGAAGAACATCATGAGAACCAACATATTTCTTAAGCTTTACCCTCGTCTCACGAGTTGTAACAAGAGCAGCTGCTTAGCTGCTCGATCGGATGAAAAAATTGCTAGCCAGAAAAACTTCCCATTTTATTGGGATTTTTCTTTGAGGCCAAGAATTGAACCGGCAGCGAAGGCAAACTTTATGACACTAATTTTAGAACGGAGTCTTGTGTCTTATTTTCTTCGAGAAAACAACTGCAAAGAAGCGGTCGTAATTCCTTCTTGTCGTCAGGAAGGTAATTATGGAATTATGGGGTGGAACTTTGACTACGTACGATTTATGAGTGGATAAAAAAATTAAATAAAAATATAACTCAGTACTCACTGCAGTGAGTACAGAGAGCGCATTTTCTCGTCGACGAAAACTTGAGGTCACGGACGGACGGACAGACGGACAGACGGACGGACAGACAGACAGACGGACATGGCGAGCACAATAGTGCATTTTTTCCATAAATGAGAAAATGCGCTAAAAACGCTTAAAATTACATGTTTATTTTTTTGCGAAGCAACTGTAGGTGACATTTGAGAAAGCAACTGTAAAACAAATGAACATTCACATGAAAGAGGTTCATTTTCTCTTTACTTCTCATAAAAACAGTTGAAATGAAGTGGTAGAAAATACACAAGAATCTATTCAGTGATAACATTTGTTGGACACGAGCCTATAGAGCTATTGAAAACGGATTTAGACTATGGCGATATTCTGGGATTCCGGAATTGTTGAAGACGATGAATATAATAATGGAGATGATGAATGATGGATATGAAGAGAGATGAAGATGATGATTGAAGGAGAAGATGGGTATATGTGCCGACGATGAAGTATCCGAAGCGAATTTTTAAAGAAATCTGAAAATTTTACTGCAATGAGTCTTCATCAAAATCTCGATGAATTAAGAGCTGAATGGAAATTAAATGTATATTCGTTTTTCGGTTCTATTTCATTTCCTGTAATATAATTAAAATCCAAATGATTTCCAGCGAATTTTCGGCCGTTGCCGTATTACCAAAAAATATTTTGCGAACAGCGTAAAGCCGCTGCTCAAGTGAATGGAATTTCTATCACGTACACCATTCAGAGTACATTTTAAACAATTACTTTAATCAATCGAAGATACATTGCTTTGGAACACTTAATATTTGACGATTTATTTACAATCACAACAGTATTTACCCGTTTGCATTACCATTATAACGAATGGACAGAACCAGCCCTGATGACAATAGTATTCACCCGAACTGCTCGGCAGTTCGTTCAATTTATCAACGAAACAAGTTGAAGATTTGTTCAACCAAAAATAATTAAAATTTATTAACAAATCTAAAATAATTATGAGGCTAGAAAAATAGAAGTCCTTGCGACACAAATTGTAGTTGTTCATTTATCAATAAAATTTAGTCTTTCGTGAGATATACAATAAATATTAGCAAGCGCTTCGATTGTACAAAGTTTCTTAAAATAAAATATAATATATTAATGACACAACAGTTTATTTACCGACTATAAAACCGCGAATTTATGGATAATGGCAGATCTATTGCAAAGAATAGGTCCATAGGAAAGTTTTGACAGAATCAATTTCTGTCAATCGTACAGAATTAATATTTTTGCTAAATCGATATATGATGTCATGATCAATTACTTTGTTGCATACAGTGTTTAGTGTAGGAGGGTTAGATCAGACTGCTTGTAACAGAATTTTTCTTTATTCACTTGCTTATTTAATTAACATTAGAATTTTATTCAATTTTCATCTGTGCAAGATGAGGATATATTGTTAGTTTTGTTCAATGTGGTAACTATATTCATTTCAATGCCTTGAACCATAAGGACACAGTTAAGAGGTATTAATTTTGGATATATATTTGCGCGAGAGTTACAATACATTTTTTACAAGTTAAATTGACGCTCGTTTGTTCCATAAGAAATTGTCGATGGCGGTAAATTAAAGTAAATGGAAGCTCGTCTGTTCCAGAAGAAATTGTGAATGACGGCATACTGAAGTAAATGAAGCCTCGTTTGCTGAAAAAAATTATTGATGACGGCATACATAAGTAAACGAAGGCTGGTTTGTTGCAGAAGATATTGTCAATGACGGCATACTAAAGTAAATGAAGCCTCGTCTGTTGCAAAAAATTATTTATGACGGCATACTAAAGTAAATGAAGGCTCGTTTATTCCAGAAGAAATTGTGAATGACGGCATACTAAAGAATATCATCTCGTATTAGATAATAAGTAAATCGCTTCGTTTTAGATAATAAGTAAATCATCTCGGATTAGAATTGTTGTAGAAAAATTATTGATGACGGCATAATTAATTAAATGGAGGCTCGTTTGTTCCAGAAAAAATTATTGATGACGGCATAATCAATTAAATGGAGACTCGTTTGTTGCAGAAAAAAGCATTGATAATAGCATTATTAATTAAATGGAGGCTCTTTTGTTCCAGAAAAAATTATCGATGACGTCATACGGCAGCGAGGACTTGCTGTGGCCGCAGTTGAGCATCGCCTGAGGGTCAACGAGCAGCGTGCTGATCCTGGACGGCGATCTGCCCAGCAGCGAGGGTATCAACGATGATGTCGAACATGGATTTTCATCATTTATGACTCAGTATTAGTATTTCCGTAATTAGATTCTGCGTCCTTATCGTTTCTGCTATCAATCGAGTGATTACATTTTATCCTAATGTTTAATTTGTCGTATAAAATAATGGTTACATGAACGTTTAAAATTAATTCCTATGTCAGTTTTAATTTTTTCGATAGACAGTTGACAAGCATTATCGAGATATTCATAGTAATTATTTATACGATAGAACAAATAAATAGTGAGATGCTATAAGATTTTTCTAAATCTTAAGTATAGTCACGTTCTTTCCTACGTGCGAGCTGAAGCTGAATTATCATTACTAATTGTGAAATCTTGTATTTTTTCAATATTTATAGTAATAATAATATAATAAAAGCATTCTATGACGAAAGTTGAAGAAATTAAATGAGGATTAATTTACGGAATTACTTGTCGAATGAAGGCTGTATCATCTGAAATAATTTCGTATAGCTGAATTAAATGAGATCGTGTACATTATTGAATGATCGATTTAATCACATTTAAACACAGAATTGGAGACGAAGAAGTTGATAAAAATTATCGTATTATTTTAATACTATAAAGTACATTATGCAGTCTCCACCGATAATAAATCGAACCAAAGTTGCAACGCTTGTCTCGAGAACCTGTTGCACATTTCCCTGGAGCGAAAATGCAGAAAATGCAGCGTTTTAGTTTTGAAAGCTTCACCTGTTCCGGGTGTCCGGGCTCTTGGAGTAATGGCTGTGTTTAGGGAAGCAAGTGCAGGAGCAGACTGTAGTCACACTGAGCACGGATGTTGTGATGGGTGTATGGAGCATCGTACCGCCTCCATAATTCGCCGACAGAAGTTTACCGTTGACCGCCATGAGTTCACCGTCCTGTGTCACCACGGACTGGTTCGCAGCCTGCATCTCCAGGTCGCCCGCACGAGCGTCTTCGCTGTTGCTGAAAATTAAAGCAGAATGTGACTGTCGTTCTGAAAATTAAAGCAGAATGTGACTGTCGTTCTGAAAATTAAAGCGGAATGTGACTGTCGTTCTGAAAATTAAAGCTGAATGTGGCTGTCGTTCTTGCACATATTTTCAGCCTCATGTTGATTAACCGGTTAAAATACTGATAGATGGTGGCGTTCTGTGGGTTAGCAGGTTAAAATGGATAGACGACGGCATTCTGTTCATTAGCAGGCAAAGAACTGATAGATGAAGATTTTCTGTTGATTAATTGTTGTTCTGTTGATTAGCAGACTAAAACTGATAGAGAAATGCGTTCTGTTGATTAGCTGGTTAAAACTGAAAGCTGAAGTCATTCTGTTGATTAGCAGATCAAAAACTCAATGGATGAATGCGTTCTGTTACTTAATAGTTTAAAAAACTGTTAGATGAAGTTGTTCTGTTGATTAGCCAGTTAAAAGCTGATAGATGAGTGCTTTCTTTGACTAGCAGATTTGGTTTAACGGGAAAGGTTTAACTGTAAGGGTTTAACTGTAAGGGTTTAACTGTAAGGGTTTAACTGTAAGGGTTTAACTGGAAGGATTTAACTGTAAGGGTTTAACTGGAAGGATTTAACTGTAAGGGTTTAACTGTAACGGTTTGACTGCAAGGGTTTAACTGGAATGATTTAACTGGAAAGGTTCACATTAGGTGTTCAATTGGAGGGTTCAACTTGAAGGGTTCAACAGGAATGGTTTAGCTGGAAGGGTTTAACAGGAAGAGTTTGACAGGAAGGGTTTACATGAAGGGTTTAATGGGAGGGTTTAACTGGAAGGGTTTAACTGGAAGGGTTTAACTGGAAGGGTTTAACTGGAAGGGTTTAACTGGAAGGGTTTAACTAGAAGGGTTTAACTGGAAGGGTTTTACTGGAAGGGTTTAATTGGAAGGGTTTAACTGGAAGGGTTTTCATAAAGGGTTTGATGCGTGGGTTCAACTCGAAGAGTTTAACTAGGAGGGTTTAACTGGAAGGGTTTAACTGGAAAGGCTTAACCGGAAAGGTTTAACTGGAAGGGTTTAACTGGAAGGGTTTAAGTAGAAAGGTATAACTGGAATGGTTTGACTGGAAGGGTTTAACTGAAAGGGTTCAACTGGAAGGGTTTAACTGGAAGGGCTTAACTGGAATTGTTTAACTGGAAGGGATTATCTAGAAAGGTTTAACTGAAAGGGCTAAACTGGCAGGGTTTAACTGGAACGATATAACTGGAAGCGTTTACATTAAGGGCTTAATGGGTGGGTTTAACTTGAAGGGTTTAACTAGAAGGGTTTAACTGAACTGCAAGGGCTCAAGGCACGCACATGGTCATGAAGCGCAGCACGAGCAGGTTGATGGACGCTGCCACGACAGTCAGACCGAACAGGATGAAGATGAGCGACAGCACAACGTAGCCTGGCTGCTGCAGCGCGTCTTCCTTCTGCACGTCAGGCCGTAGACACAAGCAAGTCAAGATGTTATTTATGATTCATTAATAATATTTTGACACAATTTCTAGTGAAACATGCTTCAGGCGTAGTAAATCATTTGTTACTGTATCTATTAGAAAATTTGTTCAGAAGGGCTAAACATTATTTTTTGGTATATCTATCAGTAAGATATGTTTCAAAGATTGGTTAATCAGTTAATAGAGTAGCATTGAGCTTGATTTTATTTAGAGAGGTTAGATGACACATTAATGGGATTAAAGCGATCAGAAAATTATTTTTCCCGGGGGGGATGGGGCAGGATTGTCATTTTCCCAAAAGCCAAAGACCAAAAGCAATAGCCCGATTTGAAGTGGGGTAGTATGTTATGAGGGAGCAGCAATATCGACTTATGAAAAAAGTTCAAATGAATCATGAAATGGATTTTGCGGAGGATGATGAGTCCTTACATAAAATTTCAGTACAAAAATATTATCTGATGAAAAATTTTGTCGCAGACATGATATTGCGGTAATTTAGCTATAAATAAATCGCAACTTGCGCTGCAAACATTGTATTTTTTATAAATCGTATTTCCATTAGGTTACATTAATTTAAGCATTTGACAATTGCTCTGGGAAAAAAAATCTGAAAATAATTTAAGCTGTAGATAATTATGAATAAAAACTTGTATTATGCGTAACTTTAATTATATAATCTAGAATATAATAATGAAAAAAATTATTGTTGTGAATCTTTAAGCCATAATTCTACTTAAAGTCTGATTAGATTGCCGAATCGAATTTATAACAGTTGTCCATCAAACCAGAAATTTTCTAATCTGAATAAATCCGCGGTATTTACAACAAAGATTTGAGTATCTTGTTACAGTTGCCATATTGATTCAATGCCTTACGAGTGAAATGAATACAACTCAAGCCAAAGCAAACTTTGGAGCAAACAATAATAATAAATATACAGGGTGTCTCAAAATAAACGATACTCAAGTTTGAATGGCTGTAACTCAAAAAGTAATAGAGTTAAAAAAATTTGGAAGGTCAGGATTTGCATTTTTCCATCATTGCATCTGCATCTATCCACCAAAAACCAGATATATCGATGTAGCCATAAGCGTTTGATAGAACTTTCAGTGACATGTGCTAAAATTGTGCTTGCGCAAAGTTTTAGTTAGAACATTTTGCATAATCATTACGTTGTCTTGACATGTTTTCTTTCCGCTGTTTTATTTTTTGTTTCGTTGGTGAGAGGCAATCATGACAATCTTTGGTGAGACACAATCATGGCAATCTTTGGTGAGACACAATCATGGCAATCTTTGGTGAGACACAATCATGACAATCTTTGGTGAGACACAATCATGGCAATCTTTGGTGAGACACAATCATGGCAATCTTTGGTGAGAGGCAATCATGACAATCTTTGGTGAGAGACAATCATGACAATCTTTGGTGAGACTAAAACATGGCAATCTTTGGTGAGAGACAATCATGGCAATCTTTGGTGAGAGCCAATCATTGCAATCTTTGGTGAGAGACAATCATGGCAATCTTTGGTGAGAGGGAATTTCAAAACCAAAGATTGCCTCTCACCAAAGATTGCCTCTCATCAAAGATTGCCATGATTGAGTCTTACCAAATATTGTCATGATTGCCTCTCACCAAAGATTGTCATGATTGTCTCTCACCAAAGATTGTCATGATTGCCTCTCACCAAATATTGTAATGCTTGTGTCTCACCAAAGATTGTCATGATTGCCTCTCACCAAAGATTGCCATTTTTTGTCTCGCCAAAGATACAAAAAATAAAACAGTGAAAAGAAAACATGTCAAGACAACGTAATGATTATGCAAAATGATCTTACTAAAACTTGGCGCAAGCCTGATATTAGCACATGTCCCTGAAAGTTCTATCAAACGCTTATGGCTACATCGATCTGTCTGATTTTTGGTGGAGAGATGCAGAAAAATATAGGGAACAAATCTTGACCTTCCAAAAATTTTTAACTCTATTACTTTTTGAGTTACAGCCATTCAAAGTATCGTTTTTGGGACACCCTGTATATGACCTTAAATACAGGGATTAATGCTATGCTGTTCCCCTCAATGAACATATATTTATCATACATTTAAATCCATTACTTAACACGTTGGCCGCGATTGCTGATTTGGCCCGAATGCCGTACGGGCGATAGGTTCAAACTTGTATATCTTCAGTTACCCGGCAGATAGCAAGGAGAAAAGTTGTGTGCAGCTCTGCAGGGGTATGTTCTGTCATTGTGTCACGTAAAAATCGTGGCCGCATTTGGTGCACATCGCTCGAGGTTGAAATTCGTCATTATTCCTGGCGATGTGTACCAAATGAAGCCATGCCTGTTGTGGCTCATATTGGCTCACGCCGCCTATCGTAATCACTTCTAATACTGTGTGCGATGTGTACCAAGCAAAGACATGCATCTATGGCTTATGTTGCGAAAAAACGCCTAAAGTTATCACTTTTATCACTGTGAGTGATGCGCGCAAGAAATCTACATTAGTTTTGAGTCATAATTGCACACATTATGACTACCGGTATCTCTTAGCTTTTTGTGAACGATGTATCTTACGCATGGAAATTACTATGGAAAGGGATTGGTGACCAGGTTTTCATAATCCTGAATAAAATTGAGGGTATTTACATTGTTAGTTCAGTTATATTTACCTTATAGAGATCATTCATCATTTATATTGTCTTGAGCTTCTGTTACAAGCAGCATTTCAGAGAAAGAGTAAAATCAGGATGTACATCTCAAATTATCGAGTGGGACAGAGGACAGCCCACTTTCATTGAACCAACTAGAACTAAAGCCAGGATGCGCTGCCATGAATGCTACAACATACTCTCAGCAAATGACTGAAGTGCCGTAGCAAAGGTGAAACTCAAAGGATAAAAAAATACATTGGTGACTGTGAAGGAAAGTCATACATGTGCGATAATTGTTTTTCAATCAGGTATGAAATATAATGATGTTGGCAACACCCAATTTTGTAGTTTCAGATCAATAAGAAAATATTTTATTTTCTTTTCATACAAAGATAGATATATATATTGCTTTTATCAATGGACACAAATTTTGTAATTTTTGTATTACTTGCATTTGAAAATAAAACGATTTCTCTAAGCAGTAGTTGACTTCAAAGCATTCCCTAACATGCCTATTTAATTGCATCATTGAAATTTTAAATTTGAAAGAGTAATAAGATTTTATAAAAAATTGAATTTTTCATATGAATGTACCACATGTGTACACATCGCGATTCTGAGAAGTACAGCGTGTACATATATGGCGCACATCGCGGCCAACGTGTTAATTACTATTTAACAGTGAAGTGTTATTTTTCCAGGGAAACATATCATTTTGAAAACTTACAATTGTACATGTGAAATAAAATTGATGAAATTAGTTGAGCATGTGCTGGAAAAATTTGTTCAAATTTTGTGACTTTGTTAAAAAAATCTAATATTAGGCATCAAAGTAGTCATTTTGGAGAGAATAAGTAATTGGATGCTTATTTACTTTAAATTGGTCATTTCCAACCAAAAAAAAAACATCTCAAGTTAATTCATTTGCAAAAAATTAATGAGGGGGAACCAAAGCATACCGATGTTAGCACAAGGTTTCATAATTACGCTATTTTCTCAGCATTTCCACGATACTGTAAATTAGTTATTGAAGACGACCGAAATATTTCCCATTTTCAATTGTATTCAAATTTTAAAATATACTGGTTCATCTGGATCATTTACTGCGTGGATTTGTACGCTATTATACGCTAAAATATATGTGATACCTGGACATGATGCTGCAAATCATCTGATAATATATACTTTATTAATATACTTGCAAATTACACTCATACCCACGATTTTAAATGCTGCAAATCACCTGAAGAGCCACAAAGTCGCCGAAGCCAATGGTGGTGAGTGTGATGAAGCAATAATAGAAGCTGTCAAGGTAGCTCCAGCCCTCATACTTCGAGAACACCGCTGCGCCTGTCGTCATCACGACGGCCGAGAGCGTTCCTGTCACCATCAGCTGGTTCACCTCAGTGGCTTCTGTGTTGCCGCAGCCCAGGAAACGCTTCACCTAACATCGTAAATGTGATACATGATGAACGCTTCACCTGACACGGTAAATGTGATACATGATGAACGCTTCACCTGACACGGCAAATGTGATACATGATGAACGCTTCACCTGACACGGCAAATGTGATACATGGTGAACGCTTCACCTGACACGGTAAATGTGATACATGATGAATGCTTCACCTGACACGGCAAATGTGATATTTTTTATATTTATATACTTTATATTATACTTTATGTTAAAACCGTTTATACTCTTTATACCTGATGAACTTGAATGCAAAAATTTGTGTCCTATAAAACCTCTTAAACTGAATTGGAACAATGAGAGGAAGTAGTGCTTGTCTTCTTGAGCAGGTTTTCTACTGTTACTTCTGTTTGGAAAAAAAGTTTCACCTGGTAGTTGTCGCAATGTTGTAATTATGCAATAATGTTGCTTAATAAATGTAATCGTTTGAAGATATTTGTGAAATATTTATCCAAAAAACTATGTGAGATTAATAACGAAGATAAAATGGATCCCAAGGCATACAATTTGATAAAAAATATAAGATTCGAGCACATAAAATGTATTGCAGTAATGTTTATTACAAGTTAAATTGGAGGATATAGTCACCTTCATAGCAAAATTAACGTTAAATCTATAACGAAGACGAAATTAATTTCCGAGTGATCCAATTTAAAAAGTCGTAAAGAAGCTAATTCCGTTCCCTCGAAGCTAATTTCGTTCCCTCTATATCATATGTTAACAACTCTTATTAAATCTAATGTTCATTGATTGTAACTAATTGTTAACTGAACAGTAGTTAGCTGTACACATATTCATTATTACTACTAACTTTTATGATGACGATAGATATGAATTTATTTACTACTAACTTTTTGATGACGACAGATATGAATTTATTTACTACTAACTTTTTGATGACGACAGATATGAATTTATTTACTACTAACTTTTTTGATGACGACAGATATGAACTTATTAAGCCTCTCGCCGATGCTCTGGAACATGACCATGCCTAGAGGGATGCCGAAGCCGGCGTAGATGATGCAGAAAGCCTTGCCTGGCACCGTGGACGGCGTCGAGTGACCGTAACCTGTAGATTAGCACAGAACGAATTTTATTGTTTACATATAAATAATATAATAAAGCTTATTTTTAAATATATGATAGTTTACTGTTTTTACGTATTTCGAACTAAGAAGGGAGACCAAAACAAGTTATATGAGTGTAGATACAATAACATAGATATTTTTGAACACGTAATGTTAATGACGATGAAGTCTTATTGTCGAAATTTTTAATTTCAGGAACTAATCAAAGAATGAGTTATACGAAAATCTGAGAAAGTTTTATGAATGATTTATATCAGACCCAATGAAATATACTTTTACAAAACAAAATATACTATAGGAAGAGTTTCCAAAAATAAAATTATTATATATATGATTTCAAATTTAACAATGAACATTACTGAAGGGATGTTTGCTGACCAATCATAGCTACGACGACGGTGACGAAGTACAGAGCTCCCTGGAACTTCCACTGGTTATCGCCTCTGTACTGCCGCCGCTCAATGATCACTTGTTCGATGAAGTCGTACTCGAGTTTGCTGATGTTGTACTTGTCCACCATCAGGTCCCGGACCTCTGCTCAAACATCAAGCATCAGCTGGCCACAGTATCATTGTCTGACATCAAACATCAGCTGGCCACTAGTATCATCGTCTAACATCCAGCATCAGCCAGCCACTAGTATCATCGTCTAACATCAAGCATCAGCTGGCCACTAGTATCATCGTCTGACATCAAGCATCAGCCTGTCACTGCATGAATATTTAATTAACATCAGCCGACATCAGCTTCCATACCCCCACTGAACAAGACGGCTCATTATTATGAAGCTGAATCAGTAGCATGATGCTGACCATAACTATCATAACGTTGACTCACTACCATAACATTGACTATCATAACGTTGACTCACTATCATAACGTTGACTCACTATCATAACGTTGACTCACTATCATAACGTTGACTCACTATCATAACGTTGACTCACTACCATAACGTTGACTCACTATCAATAAGGTAGTAGCGGTTTTCCTCGGTGGTAGACTCGAAATGATCGAACACCGCGGCGCCCACAAGCAGATACGTGAACGTGACCACGACGAGCGACAGCGTACGTACGTTCTGGCGGCGCATTCTGCTGCGCGCAAGCTGTGCCTGTCACATGCAAGTCAGAGCAGAGAATAATTAATAAACTAAATTAAATAATAATTATTTCTCATATATGATGCTTCAGAGAAGTGAATAATTAATAAACTAAATTAAATAATAATTGTTTCTCATATATGATGTGACAAAGGCTTATTATGATTTCATTGATCGGAGTGCAGAAAGAAGATTAAAACGTAATTGATACTTAAATTCGTTTTGACAGAGGCATTTATAGTCCCATTGAACCGGACAAAAATATCAATAAAAATTTGTTTTGATGTATAAATCAAGTACAGATAGAATAAATAATGGACATACAGAGAAAACATATAATACAAATACGGCCAAAATAAAACCAATACAGACACAATAAAACAAATACAAACACAATAAAAGAAATACAGACAAAATATCAATAAAACTTGTTTTTAATGTCTGCCTTGAATGAGGCTTTTGATAATATAAATGAAAATAAGCAAAGGGAAGTGAATTATAAACAATTGTTTCTTGTATGCATTTTAACAGAGACTTTGAGTAATTCCACTAACACGGAGAAAAGTGAACGAACAACAACTAATTCACAATTTTTCGATTGTCAATAAACAATTGTTCAATTACAGGACAATTGTTTCTTTAATTGGTGTCAACAGGCATTTCATATTGCCGTGCGAACAGCGAATTATGGTTTGGATATTTGTGATTATTTACTAATAAATTTTGATATGAAATGATAATAAAATTACCAGTCAGTTGTACATTAAAATAGAAAATAATGAAGTAAAAAAAAACTAAATTGTAAAAAATTTGTTACATTGAGTAATTGAAATTGTTTAAAGTCGCCTTATCGATATCACCGTATACGATGTATGTTTGGTTAACATGCACTCATTATACGGTGATACTATTAATGTTTGGGAAGCAGGATTTTTCAACACTGGTTTAAAAAGTCAGAGCGAAGATAACCTGGCGATGATCTCATACTTTCGATGCAGAAAACTGGTTTGCTTTAAGAGTTAATTTAATACAATTCCCGTAATATTTGAAGTTTCTTTAGGATTGAAAGCGACCATGAAACTTGTGTGTTTACTCTTGCTAAATCAATAAATTCATCAAAACTATTTAGCTTGACTGTGTATTCATTACATGTTTTTTTCTACAAGTAACGTTACTTTCTGGAGTTTTAATATAAATGCTCATATCATAAGATGAAGCTGATATTTCAACCACTGAGACTGTGGAACATGCCCTTAATTCCTAACGTACCATAAAAATATTTATGTAGCCGAATGATATTTTTTAACACTCACCAAATTTCAGATTTATCCTGTATCAGGTGCCATAGCTTGATTATGTTACCAAACTATCGTATAAAATGAGATTTCTTTTGGCTTATTCAAGCTTAGAAAGACGGAAACACACATCCACTTGTTAGGGCTGGAGCCGTTACACTGCAACAGTCAGAGGACTCAGAGCTGCCAGATGGTGGCAAGGAAACACGGCCAGATCAGCCCATAAAAAAAGCCAAAAATGGCCTAAATAAATTTATGTTATAAAATTTGTCCGTTGCAGCGCAATAATTCAATTCATAATTTCTCTCGACTTTAAAAATTACATTGGGCTTTAGGCTTGCAGATATTTTGCTGCCTAAATCAGTTAAAAAGAGGCTCAAATCGGGAAATATGGTCGGAAAAAGGCCAATCTGGCAACTCAGGGAGCCATCAGCTGCTGTGCCCGGCCAGTCCTCAGGCAGGGACACAAGCAATCGATCGAAGAAGCTGGCAGCGCGGTTAGAATTCAGATCCATTGTTATGACTGAATGTTGAAATTAACCTTGAAATTCAGTAAATATAATCAATAATATTTACAGATCACTGTATTGCTGATCTGCTACAGTTTGAGCTGTTGTATTCCTCGATATTATTAGAAGGCTGTCTTCATGAAGGAAGAACTTGTGCATCAATGGGATACGAACCTATTGTTTTCTCTGATTTACTCCATAGCTTACCAATGATTTTTTAAGATAGTTTTGAAAAAAACACGTCCACTTAACCGGTATACAAGTACGTGGAGCTTCTATTAATTTGGCCGAAGAGTAGAGATTACCGAAACTGCTAGAAGCACACAAAATAAACATGAAATGTAGGTAACAATGCCGAATAGACGGAATAGTACTCGCAAAGAACAAATGTTTTCATTAAGGGACATACATGAGTAGCCCAACGGTTATGCATGAAAATAATATTTTCCGACGTTTTCTGTATTCATGAATTAATTTTTTTTGTCTCAGCAGTCAGCTCGTCATGCTTCTGTGCAATAGTGACCAGATCAAGACTCAGCTCGCCATAGGATGCAGCATTGAGCAAATGGAAAATATGTAAGAGTATATCTCATCATGAATTGAATTTGGATTGTTAATATTTTGGACGTGGTCGTTGAATCGGGCGCTCGCGAAATAACAATTTACATAGTTTGTAATCGGAAGTTTTCTATGATAAACTATAGAAAAGTTTTTATTTTTTGGGAAACTACTATATTTTGTTTAATATCAGTTTCTGCCTAGTGGTCAGCGTCGTCTGCGCTAGGCAAATGACAAGCAGCTAAGGTTCAAACCTGTACACGGAATATGAAAATTTAAACATAACTAAAATGTTTAAAATGTAGTAAAGTCTTGGTAGCTAAAGATGATTTTCGTACAGCGATTGCAGCTTAAAGTTATGCCCTACTTAACTACCTTATCTTCAGGCACTCAGGCTAGGCAGATCACCGACATGCTAAACATGACATCAAACAACACAAAAAATGTTCGAGTTAGAATCATATGAGCTTCAGATTATTCAATTAAAAGAAAGGCAGGCTTGCAATAACTGTTCGTAACATCGATATTTCTAGCTGCTTAACGTGAATCAAATTTAATATAAGCTCAAGTCTAAAAACGTGAGCCGTCTAACCTTGTCAGCCTGTCAAAAGATCCAGTGTATACAACTGCCATCCAGTGGCGTCACGATGAGGGGGGGGGGGCAAGCCTTTTTAGATTTATGATCATATTTGAGTTAAAAATAACTGATTGTGTGATTATTTTTAAAACTATTTATATAAAGTCCACGTAATGTTGAATATGTCAATTTGAAACAAGAACCAACACCAGGGGCCACGGCTTTCAACTAAAAAACAGCGTTGGAACACATCCATGCGACAACATTTCTTCTCGCTTCGAGTCACCGACATGTGGAACAGCCTCCCTGATAGCATCGTTGACGCTCCGAGTATGAACATCTTCAAAAACAGACTAGACGAAGCTATGCAGGAGCATATGTTCAGTCTTAAAATGCCTAGCAAATTACGGACCAGGCAATAAGTCCAGCAGCTATCTCAATCAATCGTCAGCTATGGAAAGATCGGGTTCCAAAGGCCGGATCCCTTGTGAATCAAGTCACGAAAAGTTCAAGAATCGGCAACAGGCCAAGGGCCTATTTCTTCAACGCCGACACTTCTATTCTATTCTATGTCATCATTGAAAAAATAATTTTATTAAAAGAAAATAGAATTATTTAGACGAGCTATAAAACATTGCATGAGGGCTGAAGCCTTCTTAAAATGGACCTTATAGCGCCGCTTCTGCCATCAAATAAGGCTCGTGTTAGGATTTAAAATAATAAGGGACTTCAGCTTGTTTCCTGCTAACTTACTCATGCAATTGGCTTCAGAAATATAATGTAAAATTTAAAAGAGAACAGTTTCTTATTTAACTTTACTGTACTTATAGTTATAGTATTGAACAAATGCTGTGTGACGTACTATTGACAATGTTCTTTCCTGTTTCATAAATGCAGTGGAAAATGTAAAAAAAAATATGAACAACCAAATATATATTATTTCTAATTCGATTCCTTATTCCTCTCGAACACTCGTTCCAATTGTACTAGAATAACAAGGTTAGCATTTCAACATAAACTTGTTCCTGCCATGACAATGTCAAAAACGCTGATTTTTGTAATGAGCAACATGCTGTGCAACAAACGTATACAAATATTTCCTGAAAAAGTTATCAGAGGCAAACATTGATTCGAAGTTTTCCTTGAAAAGTAACTTAGCAACATATTTAAACATTTTTTTCTTAGAAAGTATCTAAGGCACTGATTCATTCAATGATTTACATAATAAAAGCTGCGTATCCACAGATTTATTCAAACACAATAAAACAGTATCTGAGCCACAGATTCGTTCAAACATATCCCATGAAAGCTTTTTATCAACAGACTTATTAAAGTGCATCCATAAAACAGTATCTGAGCCGCAGATTCATTCAAGCGTATCCTGGGAAAGCTTCTTATCTACGAAATTATTAAAACGCATCCATAAAACAGTTCATGAGCCACAGATTCATTCAATTGTAGCCTAGTAAAACTTCTTATCTCCGGATTCATTAAAACATATCCTCGAAACAGTAAATGAGCCATAGATTCATTCAAACGTATCCTAGAAAAGCTTCCTGTCCACAGATTTACTCAAAAATATCCTGAAAATAGTATATGATCCACAGATTTATTCAAACGTATCCTAGAGAAACTTCTTTTCAACAGAATCATTAAAATGTATTCTGGAAACAGTCTCTGAGCCACAGATATAAGCAAATTATATCTGTGCACATTTGCCTTCACATTCACTCTCATTCTTATGAGCGCAAGGTGAGACCGTGGAAGATGACGCCAGTAAAAATGACGTTCATTGCTACGGCTTATCTCATGGCCGGGTTATTTATTGTCTCTTTGGTCTTGGACGACCGCAGGGCTTCTGATGGAGGCAGCAATCGATCGAGGACGTCCCTTAAAAATAGCATAGTCTCCGTGTGTTAGCGGAGCACTCACTGGATGCTTCGAATCTCGAATAAAGATTTCCGCTGAAATAGCGCGGAAAACTATTTCTTAGATACTTATAATAAATCTTTTCAGCACGATATGTATAGAGATGTGTATTAATTGTAAAAACTGAGAAAAAGTTAGCGGATTTTGTCTAAAATTCCAGGACGAGATTCTCGTTCAGAAAATAATTGACATTCGGTGAGACCTAAGAGCTGGTCTGATGGGGAATTTATGGACGTCTAATCGAATTTTCAGTTTCGCAGGCATAAAAAAATTAATGTTGAAAAATTCTCTGTAATAACTAACTAAAAGGATCGAATAGGATGAATTCAGAGTTGATGAGACTCACGTCTCAACAATTACTCAAATCGATATTTTCTATAAAATTTTCGGAAAGTTTTTGAGTATTGAATAATATGTAAAATTTTTATTTCAAACCGGTATAAAGTACACAACAGTAATTAATATTTTCTATGATATCTTCTATGAAAACATACAACGGTAATTAACACATTCAAGCGGATGTGGAACTGAGGAGTTTGAGAAGATACATATCCCTACCCTTTCTGATGTTCCCCATTTTCTAGTGTATTTATACGCAGTAATTGAAAATTTTAAAACCAAATTTCTTATAATTAAAGCTAAGTATAGGATCTATTATTGATTAGATAGGATCTGCGTAATTTCTAATCAGTAATGGAAATAGAAAGCCAAATTTATTATAATTGAAGCTGAGTAAAGGATGTTATCAAGGCTATTTCCATCGAAATGCCACATCCTTCAAGTCTAGAATAAAAAATAGATTTTACTACACGTTTAGCTCTGCTTCATGATTAGAAAAATGATGGATCGTATTTTATGTATGTTCCAAACATCCTGAAGAACAAATCATCAGGACAATACGAGTCTAACATATGGATGAAAAATATAATTCTTACGTGAAAAAGATGCTTATAGAAACTAAAAATTTAATGCAAAAGTTTGAGGATTGGATTCAGTTATGAAAACAACAATTTTGCTCAAAATATACCTACGTTCCTCAGAAAAAAAGTATCTTGTATATCAGCAGTATAGCAAAGATAGTCATTAATTAAGAAATATAATCTTAATTTAGCTTTATTATCTGCGGTCCTCAGTCTCCTCCCATGAAGGAAAAGAGAGGAGAGCTCAAGCTAATTGGATCCTCGGAAAACAATAAAAAAATAGCAGACAAGAAAAAAGATTATCGAGCGGCTGAACACGTGTACCTTAAATCGATGTGCATCATACGGTCTGTATATACAGTCAGTATATACGGTCTGTATATGTAATCTGTATATACGGTCTGTATATGCGGTCTGTATATGCAGTCAGTATATACGGTCTGCATATGTAATCTGTATATACGGTCTGTATATGCGGTCTGTATATGCAGTCAGTATATACGGTCTGCATATATGGTCTGTATAAAACGGTCTGTATATGCGGTCTGTATATACAGTCAGTATGTACGGTCTGCATATATGGTCTGTATAAACGGTCTGTATGTGCGGTCTGTATATACCATTAGCTTCTGGTATTGCATTGCATGCATC